TTATATGTAGGACGCCAAGCAAGGAGAATCAGGCAACTCACACTTAAGACCCAACCTCCTTGATGGGTTACAAGCAAAGGTTTTTAAAGGCAGGGCTAATTAGGAAAGCAGAGTTACAGACATCATAAAACTGTGCATGGAAATTATACATTGGTTTGGCCTTAAAAGTCGGAATATCCTGATGAGGGAGCTTACAGGTCTTAGGTAGATTTAAAGATTCTCTGATTTGTGATAAGGAAGCAAAGCTTCCTTACATAGTTGGGGGCAGTAGAGAGGAATGTTCAGACCTGGCCTGTGGGCTTGACTCTCTCCAGGCCCCTCAGGAAAAAATTTAAAACAAAGAATGGGGGTCAGAGTTCAGTCCTCAGTTTCCCCTTATCTGCGGTCTCCCTGTCAGTGGATTTATTAGGTGGGATTCCATGTTTCTGAAAAACAACTCAGGGACATATATTAATATGTTATTTTTAGTTTCTGTAGAGATTCAAACATCTCGTGACTCTAACTTCCTTGGCTATTGTTTTAAGCTATCACTACCTTCTTACTTATAAAGTCACTCACTTACTTTTTCGGGCTGGCTAGGTGCCTGGAATTTCTCTTGAAGAAACTTAAGGTTTTCCTTTATTTCCATGTTGGGAGGCCCTGGTAGGCTTCTAAAAGAGGTCCCTCCTTTATCTCAGAGGCACGTGGTCAGAGTGCTACAAAAGAACTTGAATGGGAGGTACAGCAACCATGTGGAACACTGAGTCACATTTCTTTACACCAGAAAAGGCACTTGCTCAAAATGTCCAACAATAGTCAGAGTGATGTCCTCCTCAAAGGAAGAGTTCCGTAGAGAATTAAAATAGTCAACTGAAACACTAGGTGTATAAAGCAAGAGAACAAGGGGCTTGTCTCCCCAAGAGAAAGGGGAAACAAGCATAAAGATTGGGCTTGTACACCTTCATGAGTGTGCTCACACTTGACATGAGAGTATCCTCTCTTTTCCTGGTAGATCAGGGGAAGGTGCTAGTGTGATCTACATATATTCCTTCCCATGGTGGGAGGACACTGGAATGATAACTGTAATTCACCTCAACTTGCTTTTCTCATCCCTGATGCAGTGGCCCCAGGACTAGGGATGGAAATAGAGTCCAGAAACAGGAATTATTCCTAAGCAAGAAACTGTAAATATATTTTATGTCCTTTATGTAATAATTCCTAAAGGCCTGGAGAAGTAGGTTGTGCCTTCACTGCACCTGGCAAAGTTGGGACTAACACTGAATGCAGCTGTATTGCCTGGGGTCAGATAGCCACCCAGTTCTCTACCTGCATAACCCTACCCTCTATGAACTGAAATGGATGATGTGAGACAATTGCTAGAACAGTATTGGTCCCTGCAGTCCAAGCCAGAACAGCAGCAGAACCTAGTGTTCCTTCCGAAATTGTAAATGTTTAGTATAAATGAAGAGAAAAAGAAATAGTAGCTGAGGGTAAATGAATGAACACATGGGTTATGTAATGAGGAAAATCCAATGTTACATGAACTACTCGAAAGAGGTATAAGTAAGAAAGAGTATTGTCTCTTAGCTCGATTTCACCAGATGCCTGAAAGCGTGCAGCCATGTGTTGCCGAGACTATTCCTATTTTTGGACTGCACTGGGATAATTGTTAATGACCAAAGAGGATTCTGGTAATGTACCAGGATCTTTTCACTGTTATGATTCTTCTGGTATAGGAGATCTGTGATTGGCCAGACACAGTGGCTCAAGCTTGTAATTCCATCAGTTTGGGAGGCAATGGTAGGAACATCGTTTAAGGTCAGGATTTGAGACCAGCCTCTGCAAAATAGTGAGACCCATTCCTATAAAACATTTAAAAATTAGTTGGGCATGGTGGTGTGCACCTGTAATGCTATCTGCTCAGGAGGCCGAGGCAGAAGGATCACTTGAGTCCAGGAATTTGAGGTTACAGTGAGCTATGATTGTGCCACTGCATTCTACCCTGGGCAACAGAGCAAGAGATTAACTCTAAAATAAAATAATAAATATTATAAGAAGAGATAATGTGGTCAAAACCAGGGTGCGATCTGTCGTCCAATAAAAATATGTGGTCTTTGTCCCTGTTTCCTGACAACCGGGTTCTAGAACATTTGCAATCTCCTCAGTGATAAACATGACTTCAATATGGCAATGAGATGACTATAGGGTGCGGGGCTCCTAGATAGCTTCAGAATGGGAGCTGGTTGCCAGAAACACGAAGCTGTGATTAGAGGATTGGAACTTTTAGCCCCATCCCTAAAGTCTGGGAAGGAAAGAGAGGCTCGAAGTTGAGTTCAGTCACACAATGGCCAGTGATTTAATTAATCTTGCCTACACAATGAAATTTACATAGAAACCTCTAGAGATTGGGTTTCGGAGAACTTCCCAGTTGGTGAGCACATCCATGTGTCCATGTGCTGGGAGGGTGGTGAACTCCATCTCCATGGGGACAGAGGCTCCTGTGCTCAGAGCCCTTCCAGACCTCACCCTGTGCACCTCTTCATCTGGCTGCTCATTTGTATCCTTTATAACTGCTGTGGTTTGAATGTTTCCCCAAAAAAGTATCTGTTGGATATTTCTTCCCGAATGCAACATTTTTAAGAAATGGGACCTTTGAGAGGTGATTGGACCATCAGAGCTCTGCCTTCATTAATGAATTAAGACTCATCATAAAAGGACCTGAGCCTGTGAGTTTGACTTCCTTTTCCCCCTACCACTCACCCTCTCTTGTCCTTTTGTTTTCTACCAGATACAGTCCCTTGATTTGGGAATTCCCATCCTCCACACCATGAATGAAACAAATTTCTGTTTGTTATAAGTTATCCAGTCTCAGGTGTTCTGCTATAGTGGCATAATTTAAACCAGGGGTCCCTAACCCCCGGGCTGTGGACTGGTACAAGTTTCTGGCCTGGTAGGAACCAGATCGCACAGCAGGAGGTGATCAGTGAGCGAGAGAGCATGAGCATGACCACCAGAGTTCTGCCTCCTGTCAGATCAGTGGCGGAATTAGATTCTCATAGAAGCAAGAGCCCTATTGTGAGCTCTGCATGCAAGAGATCTAGGTTGCATGCTCCTTATGAAAGACTAATGCCTGATCATCTGAGGTGCAACAGTTTCATCCAAAACCATTTCCCTCTGCCTTCCGCCACCTCCACTGCTCCATGGAAAAACTGTCTTCCGTGAAACCGGTCTCAGGTGCCAAAAAGGTGGGGATTTAAGCTATAAAAATAAAAGAACTGCAATACTGAGTGTGAAAGGAAAGTAAAATTTCAGGACTCCAAATTCACTATACCAAAGGGAAAAGTTAAGTTTGGAGACTGAGTGATGGAAAAACTGCCTTTCTTTTGTTCCTATACAAATAACTGCAAAGATAGAAGACCCCATTATTCCCCAGGTGGCCTCCCTCACAAACTGCTCACAAGATAATTCCTTGTGGGCCCCAACATCTTTACTCTAAAATGGAGTTCTGTTGAATTTCCCCCTGACAGTGTAAATTAACAGCTTATCTTCACAGGTACAGGACAAAGACAAGACTAGACATCATCCCTTCACCCACCAGGTGACTTTTCTTCCCAAGGTTTACTTTATCTTATATAAAATGCAGATTTACTGAGCACGAGATGAATGCATAGTTGACTGTTTTTTTCCTCTCCTGGCTGCTCTTTCCCCTATAAATATTGCAGTCCTCAAACCCTGTTAGGAAAAAGCACGGGCCACAGATGCTACAATGATTTGTGTCTCTGTTTCCAAGGTGCATCTTCAGCTCGGCAAAATCAACTTCTAAACTGACTGAGACCTGTCTCCGACGTTTTTTGGTTTACATGACTATAGCAACGTCCTGAGTTCTTTGAGTTAATTTAAGAATTATCAGTCCTTGGGAGGTGAGAGACCCCTGACTTTGCAGCCATGATAGACAGAAGTGCAGGTAACCTGGGACCCGATACTTGGGACTTGCATCTGAAGTGAGGACAGACTTGTGGGATTGAGCCCTTAAACCTGTGGAGCCCGAGGTGAACTCCAGGTAATTAGTATCAGAATAGAGTCAAACTCTAGGACTCCCAGCTGCTGTTGGAGAATCAGAAATTTGGGTGGAGGAAAACCCCATCACCATCCCACAGAGAGAAACTTAGAGTAAGAGTAAGCAAGTACACCTCTATCTTTTTGGTCCCAGAGGAAAAGATAAACAAAATGTAAGCATTTACTTCACTCCCTAATCTATTAAACACAGGATACTACCAGCTGTTCATTGTCCAGACATGGAGTGGCCCTACCTCTAACCTAGAAGTTAGGATTTTTTAGGCCTTTGAGGGTGTCACATAAAAACTAATAAATGTTACAGATTCTCTCCCCAGAAATATTTCCACATATAAGAAAATACAGATATTAATATAAAACATTGGTGTGGACCCAGAACCTCTGAGGTCTTACAAACCTGGGTGTTTTAATCCTAGTAAGAGACAATGCTGAGGAAAGATGTTCGAATAATCATTTCATCATCACACAATGCCACTCCAATAATCTAGACTATAAACTGGGATAGACAAAAACTTGATGTAATAATCTATCCTCAAGGGATATGTTATTTATTAGTCACTGGTTCATTCAGACACTCTGTGTGCCTACCAGGTACCAGATAAAGTTCTCTTCCTGGATCACTGCTCCAAGAATTAAAATTTGTCACTTTTTCCCACCCCTCACACTCCAGCACTTGAACCCTCTTACTACACCAGAATTCCACACTGTCAATGAAAAGAGTCAAACTCGGTAACATATTTGAAGAGATTAATTTTGAGCCAAAAATGAGGGACCACAGCCCATGATGCAGTCCTCAGGAGACCCTGAGAACATGTGCTCAAGGTGGTTGGGGCTTAGGTTGGTTTTATACATTTTAGGAACATATGAGACATCAATAAGCTATACGTTGTTTCAATCCAGAAAGTTGGGACAATTTGAAGTAAGCAAGGGTTGCGGGGTAGTGCTTCTGGGTTATAATTAGATTTTTAATTTTTCTGATTGGCAATTGGTTGAGTTACTATCAACAGAAAGGAACGTCTGGGTTATGATAAGAGGTTGTGGAGTCCAAAATTTTCTCACGCAGATGACGCCTCCAGGTGCCAGGCTTCAGAGAGAATAGATTGTAAATGTTTCTGATCAGATTGAAGGTCTCTGTTGGTGGTAAATGCTGGTCAGCTTTTCCTGAATTTCAAAAGAGAAGACGGCATAATGAGGCATGTTCAACACCTGCTTCCCATAGTGGCCTCAGTCTTTCAGGTTAACTTTTGAGCACCGTGGCTGAGGGTGTCAATTGAGATGGTTAGGAGGGGGTGGCTTTGATGTTTTTTTTTGGTTTACAACATGAAAGATGTTGAGAGAAGACAGACACCACCTCCCTCCTTGGAAGAGGACAACACTCCAGTCACCCTGCAGTTGATCATGGACATGCGTCTTAAGCTCCACCAGTCCGATGACCACCTGCTGAAGAGGTGTCATTGTCCTAGGTAAATACTAAGGGTGTGTCATCTCACGCCAAGAAAATTAAGGACACTGACACACGAGGAGTGAGTTTAGGAGCAAAGCATTTAATAGGCAAAAGAAAGACAAAGGGGAACAGCTGTCTTCTTGTGAGAGAGAGGGGCACCCAAAAGGGAATTCTGGCCTGGAGTGGGAGTGAATCGGATTTTACAGGCAGGCTTGAGGAGATGGTGTCTGATTTATGTAGGGCCCACAGGTTGGTTGGACCAGGTGTGATATTTACATAGTGCCAGTGGAAGGCTGTTCACCCCACCCTCATCCTATTATGCAAATGGGCTTTCCACTTGGCCGGCACCATGTCTTCTGCTCCTTACTGTAAACGTGCCTGGCAAAGAGAAGGGAAGATGGAGTTGCCATTGTGAACATGCCCAGTCCCAGGTGTCCTATTCCTATTCGCACAGCTGCCGGCATTCACCCGTGCAAGCTTCCAGCTTACTTGTCTATGTCTGAAGCTTGATATTACAGGCTGCACCTTGTTAGAAAAGAAAATAATTTGGAGGCTGCTTTTCATTAAAAGCCTTCCGTACCCTCACTATCTGTCTAAATAATTTCTTCTTAACTCCTATATCACTGCCAGCCTCGGAGCCAGAATGAGGTGACAGAGAGGCTGGGACTGTGCAGAACACATTTTAGTAAAGATGGCTGAGTGACAGTAGTGATGTCCAATTTCCGGGTGCAGCAGTGACGTCTCCCCTGGCCTCAGGGTCCAGTGTCCAGCACCAGGTGTCAGAGGTGTGAGCAGTGGCGTCTGTGCTCAGCAGCAGGGGCAGTTGTTCCTAGGAGGGACCTGATCCAGGGTGGGCTGTGGATTCTGTTCCTGGATGTGTAGGTTCCAGCCTGCTTCTGTGGCCATCTCCACAATAAAACTAGCCCCCAATACCAGATATACGACTTTATGTGTACATTACAGAAATCTGTTTTCCGTAGTTTGCTCCAAGAAGTGAGTGGGAAATGAGTCTGTGGGCGGGTGTCAGAGAGCAGCATTCACAGGTGTTCCTTGTGCGAGAGCCACATCCTGAATTCTCTACCTGGCCTCCACCCCACTGTGGAGAGAACAACAGGGAATGTCACATCTCATAACTGATGATACACATCCTCCCTTTTCTTACTGTGAGAAAAATCCTCTTTTAAACAGGTTTGAAAACCAACTCCACCCACCCACCCTGGGCACTCTCTGATCTCAGTGGTTCCCAATCTGGCCGAGCAACAGGATTGCTGGTGGGGCTTAGAAAATACTCAGGCCACTCCCCAGAACCCCTGTCTCAGAGTATTATGCATACGACCAAGGAATCGTTTATATAACAAGCCCTAGAGGTGAGGCTGATGCTCAGACATGTGGGATCCTGCTATTCTTGATACTCCAAACGTAATCTGGAGACCAGCAACATGAGCTCCAGCCTTGTCATAAATACAGAATCTGTAGCTCGACTCCAGGCTTCCTGGATCTCAGCACCACGTTCGGGTGATCCCCGTACACACGGAAGTTCCTTGCCTAAGGGTCCTCTAGACTTGGGGTCAGAACTGTGCAGTCTGCTCTGGGTGTGGTGTGATCACATCCCTTACAACTGGAGGTCCAGGGTTCAGTCCTTGCCGTCATTCTTTTCCACAGTCAGTCACTCCCTTGGTGCCCCCCCCCACAGCACACTGCAGCTCACAACCAGGTTCTCTCTTCAGGAAAGAACAGTCCTTGATGATGGGTCCAATTTCACAGACAAATGTAAGTCTAAATTAGACTCTGCTTTATAGATTCATGAGTTAGGATTGGATTCAGCACCAAGATCACAAGAACCAGGGCAGGGAGAGAGGGCAGGAAAGCAGAGCAGAACAGAAGCTCTAGAAGCAGGGCAGGAGGTGAATGGCTCTGAAAATTTGTCTCAGAATGCACAGCGACCCCCGTGTTCAGGAGCCACCCTGGGCGATGTCTGAGCCTCTGTGGTCACAGTTCCCACTGGACAAGTTTCCACTGATGGGACAAGGACGATGGAGCAGTGAAGGGGACCCAGCTGAGGACTGACCACATAAAGCCCACAAAGAACTGAACAGCAACTAGGCACAGGCCCAGTCCACACTGGGCTACTCATAGCCTTCTCCACCCCCACCTGCAACAGACTCAACACAGCGAACATGCAGATTCTGGAAGGTTCTTAGGTCTTTATTTGCTCTCTGAAATTCTAGGGTTTACTTATTTAAATAATCCATCAACCTCTCATAGCAGATATTTGAGAAAACAAATTTATATTCAGATTCTTATTTTCAGTAGGGAAGTAAGAAGTTGCAGCTCAGTGCACATAAAGTTGAGACTGAGATGGAGACATCCAGCCCCACCTCTCTGGAACAGGAAAGATGACTGGGGAGGAAACACTGGTCAGCGTGGGAACAGGGGTCACGGTGGACACGGGGTGGACTGTCTCTCCACCTCCTCACATTATGCTAACAGGGACACAGACACATTCAGATGCCTTTGCAGAAAGAGATGCCAGAGTCTCTTGAAGTCACAAAAGGAGAGGCGTGAAGAAATCCTGCATCTCAGCCCCACACAAGACAGTTATCTCAGGCTACAGAAAACAACAGTCATGAACAAATTCAAGTCAGTCATGGTAAGTGATGACACTCTGAACAGCCACCACACACTTGAAACGTCCCAATCAAAGAATCTCCATTATGCAGGCCTTTCCCCTCTGCCCCACCCCCACCCCCCCAGCCTACTCTAGACCCCAAGAATCTCAGCTTTTCAAGCCATGAGAGACACATCAGAGCCCTGGGCACTGTCGCTGGCTGGGGTAGAACAAAAACAGGACCTTGTCAGAGCCCACAGGAGACGTGGGACAGGAGGAATTACGGGATGGGTGAGGTTCTCCACACTCCCACCCCCACCACTTACACGCAGGAGAAGTGTAGCTCCTGCATGTAAGGAGAGAGTAGCTCCCTCCTCTTCCACCTGTAGCAAGAAAATGTCCTGTGAGGGGACAGGGAGGAAGCAGGGTCATGAGATCTTAGAGGAACCTCCTAGTCTTGGACCCAAAAGAAATTTCCAGAACTATGACTACAGACCCAGGGCAGGATCAGCAAACAGGAGGAAAGCAGGTGTGGGTCCTGGACCAACTGCCCTCCTAAGGTCTGTCCTTAGCAGGGACCTTCCCCTGACTCGTGAATGCTGGAATCAGGACCCCAACAGCACAACCATCAAGGTGATACATCTGTCCTTCATTGTCACATGTGCTGCACAAAAGAGTAAGTGCTGGCACACAGGGCCCCAGGATGGGTTAGCCCCTGTGTGGATGTTGCTTCCCAGTAATGAGTCAGGGAACACTTCTACCTGGGGTTTGAAACCCCCAGCGGGACAAGAAAACCCAGACCCCACCCCACACCCTTTCCCTACCTGAGCTCTTCCTCCTCCACATCACAGCAGCGACCACAGCTCCAGTGACCACAACTGCTAGGACAGCCAGGCCAGCAACGATGCCCACGATGGGGATGGTGGACTGGGAAGATGGCTCTGGGAAAGGAGGGGAAGGTGAAGGGCCCTGACCCTGCTGAAGGGCTCCAGAAGGGCTCCTGTTTCCCCTGAGAAGAGACATGACCCCTCATCCCACTTCTTACCCCATCTCAGGGTGAGGGGCTCCGGCAGCCCCTTATGCTGCACATGGCACGTGTATCTCTGCTCTTCTCCAGAAGACACCACCACAGCTGCCCACTTCTGGAAGGTTCCATCTCCTACTGGCCTGGTCTCCACAAGCTCGGTGTCCTGAGTTTGGTCCTCCCCATCCCGCTGCCAGGTCAGTGTGATCTCCGCAGGGTAGAAGCCCAGGGCCCAGCACCTCAGGGTGGCCTCATGGTCAGAGACGGGGTGGTGGGTCACGTGTGTCTTTGGGGGGTCTGGTGGGAAGAGTCAGAAAATTCAGGCGCTTTGCATCTCTCATGGGACACCCCAGCAGCACCCATGTGACCACCCTGAGAATGAACAGGACACCTGGGGTGGGGAAGGGAGCACGGAAGCCAGACACCAGCCCAGACACAGGCATCTGGGATAATCTCCTATTCCTTGGAGAGTTCTAGTCTCTGAGGGAGGAACAGGGACTTCTGGTCCTGACCTGAGTGGAGGCCGAGGGACTCAGAAAAGCTAGAATCAGACCTTCAGACACACTGAGTGTGAGGCAGAGAACAAGGCCTGAGAGAAAAATTCACGGTGCCCAAAGTTGCTGCAGGAGTCAAAGGGGACCCCTGATCGGTATTCCAGGGACTGTCTTCCCCTCCATGTCCTCAGAGACGTCATCCCTTAATTGTCCTAGAGAGCAGAGGGGCCCTCAGAGGAAATCAGGAAAACTCATGCCATTCTCCATTCAAGGGAGGGCGACATTATAGCGCTGATCCCATTTTCCTCTCCTCCTCATGGGAGGCCATCCCGGGCGATCTAGAGGTGATGGGGAAGGCGCCCCATTGCCCCTGGTACCCGCGCGCTGCAGCGTCTCCTTCCCGTTCTCCATGTGTCTGCGGAGCCACTCCAGGCACGTCCCCTCCAGGTAGGCTCTCATCTGCTCTGCCTCGCGGGCCGCCTCCCACTTGCGCTGGGTTATCTGAGCCGCCGTGTCTGCCGCGGTCCAGGAACGCAGGTCTCCGTTCAGGGCGATGTAATCCTTGCCGTCGTAGGCGAACTGGTGATACCCGCGGAGGAGGCGCCCGTCGGGCCCCAGGTCGCAGCCATACATCCACTGGAGGGTGTGAGACCCTGGCCCCGCCCCCGCGGTCAGCCCCGCCCACCGAGCCCCGCCCCGCCCCGACCAACCCGCGAGGACTTTGGCCTCAACTGAAAATGAAGCCGGGTAAAGGCGCCTGGGGCTCTCCCCGGTCGAGGGTCTGGGCGGGTCCCGCGGCCTCGGGGCGGATCTCGAACCCGGAGACTCGGGGAGACCCGGGCCATCCGTGGGGGATGGGGAGGGGTCGTGACCTGCGCCCCAGGCCGGGACCACTCACCCGCCTCGCTCTGGTTGTAGTAGCCGCGCAGGTTCCCCAGACCCACTCGGAAGGACTGTGTGATGTCCTTGGCGAGCCCTGTCTGCTCTTCCCAATACTCCGGCCCCTCCTGCTCCGCCCACGGCGCCCGCGGCTCCATCCTCGGACTCGCGGCGTCGCTGTCGAACCGCAGGAACTGCGTGTCGTCCACGTAGCCCACGGAGATGAAGCGGGGCTCCCCGCGGCCGGGCCGGGACACGGCGGTGCTGAAATACCTCAAGGAGTGCGAGCCTGGGGGCGAGGAGAGGCTGAGACCCGCCCGACCCTCCTCCCCGCGCGGCTCCCCGGGTCCTGCGCCCCCGCCTGCGGTCCCCTCGCTCCTCCCCGCAGAGGCCGTTTCCCTCCCGACCCCGCACTCACCGGCCCAGGTCTCGGTCAGGGCCAGGGCCCCCGAGAGCAGCAGGAGGACGGTTCGGGGCGCCATGACCGCATCTCGGCGTCTGAGGAGACTCTGAGTCCGGGTGGGAGCGTGGGAACTTTAGAACTGAGACCGCGGCGACGCTGATTGGCTTCTCTAGACATCCGACACCCAATGAGAGTGGGAACTGGGAGCGTCACGAGTATCCTGGAAGAAGGACCTGACACTGTTGGGAGAAGTGAAACTAGGGGAGTGGGGAATCCCCAACCCAGTGCCTCCACAATGCAGATAAGGCCCGAGGCCCTGAGAGCCACGCCCAGGACCTGGGACTTCATCCTGATCCCTCTCCGACACCAAGCCTCTTTGACACCCTGTCTGCCCAAGTCCTGGACAAGTATCTGTCTGTGGAAACCAGGGAGAGACCCCCAGGCTGCGCCCAGATCCTTCCCCTTCACTGCTGGTCCTGGAATCCCCGACCCTGAACTGGACTCCCTGCCTCCCACTCCTACCTCTCCCCTTGGACCTTTATACAGGGAAACTGACCACAGGGAACTTGATGCCGGAGTGAGCTCGCCCTGGGAATGGAGGTGTAGAGACAGGGGTTTTCTCTCTAAACCTGGTGAAGTTTTGTCTGAAGGCACCACGTAGAGATTCTCATAGAGACCAGTTTCCTTTTTGTTTATTAATACAGTAGGTAGCACAATATTGGTAATCCCTAAATGATTAGAATTCCAATTTGTAAAAGACCTGTGGCAAAACAGCATTACAATTAAACCCTCAAAGCTCGTAAGTTTTACTTTCCCAGACTGTGGATCTGTGACTCTGAGTTGTTGCATTTAAAATTATCTTCATTCCCTAGCCCGAGTTTCCCTGCATGAGTCCAGAACATCTCTTGAATACAAAGAAGCAGAGTTTGTTACTGTCTATTGCGACCGGGAGCCTGTAGTCATCACCTCAAAGTTGCGAGTGCTCCATGTAGTCCCAATGCTCTTCAGGGACGCTCAAGCACTGCCTGTTTTCCTGAACTATGCACATCTAAGCAGTGTGCATATTTTATCTGGACACTAAATGAGTTTAGCAACTACTAAACTACTAATACTGAATGAGTTTAGCACATTGGTAGGCTACAAGATCAAAACACAAAAACTGAGTGTGCTTCTATAGAGCATCAATGCATTAATACAAATGTTATTTAAAAATCCAACTTACAACAGCATTAAAAAGAATGAAGTCAGAACAAAATTGAGGGCCCAGCAATACTCTTCACTTTTATGGTTAATTGGTTTTTGAAAACAGTGCTAATATAATTCAGTGGGGGGAGAAATTATCTTTTCGTCAAGTGGTGCTGAGACAACAGGCTATCCATATGCAAAAGAATAAAGCTGGATCCCTACTTCACACTACATATAAAAATTACCTCAACGTGTATCAAAGACCTAAATGTGAGACTTAACACTAGAAAACTCTTGGAAGAAAACATAGGTATAAATCTTCATGACTTTGGATTAGGTAAAAATACCCGACCTTAAATGATACCAAAGGCACAAGCAAAAAGAGGAAATAAAAAATCGAACATCATCAAAATTAAAAATGTATGAGTCTAAGGACACCACCAAGAAAGTGAAAAGAAACTCATCGAATGGGAGAAAATTTTTGCAAATCTTACATCTGGCAAGGAAAAGACTTGTATTTAGAATATATAAAGAATGGTTGTAACTCAATATAATAATATTAGTAATAATAAGATAATAATAAACAATAAATAAAATCATAATAAGACAAATAATATACAAAAGGCTCATAAGCATATAGAAACATGTTCAATATCATTAACCATCAGGGAAATGCACATCAACCCAAAAATAAGATACTATTTCCCACCCACTAGAATGGCCATAATTTAAAAGGTAATAATTAGTGTTGATGAGAATGTGGAGATACTAGAACACTCACACTTTGCTGGTGGGGATTTAAGAGACATAGCTCCTTTAGAAAGCAGGCTATCAGTAGCTCAAATTGTTGAACATTAAGTTATTACATGAACCAGCAATCCCCTCCTATGTATACAGTATACCTAAGAGAAATGAAAACATAAGTTCACATAAAAACTTATATACCATGTTTGTAGCAGCATTATTCATTATAATCCAAACGAGAAGGACCAAAATGTTGCCAGCTAATAAATAAATTGTGATATATGCATACAATGGAATATAATTAAGCAATAGAAAAGATGTTAAGTACTGATACAAGCTACGACTCATTCCAACTTTGAATACGTTCTGGTAAGTAAAAGAAGACAGACACAAACGGCCACATGTTGTATAATTTCATTACATTAAATGTTCAGAATAGGTAAATCTGTAGAGCTAAAACATAGGTTGGTAGTTTCTTAGGCCTGGGCTTTGGATATGGATTTTTCTGCAGGGCTGGGAGGAGATAAAAGGATCTGTAATTGATTGTGGTACTGGAGGCACAACTGTGAATATTCTAAAAACCACCGAATTGTATATTTTGAATGTGTGGATTTTATACTATTTAAGTTATATCACAAGTTGTCTGGAAAATGATTAAATTACATATAAAATTTACGGTCATTGCAGTTCAACAAAAGCTACCAGATATAAACACTCAATATGGTTTGCATGCAAGTGAAGAAAGTAGACATGCAGAGAGAAGGCTGATACAATAGTAATCACCTTAGTAAAGTGGGTTTGGATTTAGTGACAGAGAGATTTAAAAGTATATTTATGTATATTTTGATTGTTTCATTTCCTATTGTGAGCATGAATTATTTTTACACTAAAAATTTAATAAAATGTTACAAATCTTGAAAGTTCTGCAGTCAAATAAACATAGTAACAAATGATAAAGAGCTGTCTGGACTGTCTTCCTAGAGAACTGGTTGATGCACATGCATGTAAAAGGGAGGCAATGTATGTATGTATGTATCTGAGATGGAGTCTCACTCTGGCGCCCAGCTAATTTTTGTATTTTTAGTAGAGACAGGGTTTCGCCATGTTGGCCAGGCTGGTCTCAAAACTTCCGACCTCAAGTGATCTGCCCGTGTCGGCCTCCCAAAGTGCTGGGATACAGGCTTGAGCCACCAAGCCCGGCCACAACTTCTCTTTTAAAAGGATCTCTGACTGCTGTGCTGAGAACAGAATTGAGAGGCGAGGGACAAGGGAGGCAGAAGGGAAAACAGTAGGAAGCGAGTGCAGTATTCCAGGCTGGAGATGTCGGTGACCTTGACTGGGGTGTGAGCAGGGGAAAGAGTGGGACGTCAGGGGATTCTGGATGCATTTGAAGATGGAGTTACAGCATTTGCCAATGGATTGTATCTGTGGTGTGAGAAAGATGAAACAAGGACACCCATAGTTGTAAAAAGAGTGAGTAGAAAGGTGGAGCTGCTGTCAGTGGAGATGGGGAGACTCTGGCAGGAGCATACTGAGGAGGGGGCATCACAGGCACTCAGTAGAGGAGATGTCTACTAGGAATGCAGGTGAGGGAGCTGGGGTGGAATTTGGACAGACAACTCCAGAGTTTAGAGGAAAGGAGAAATAGAGCGGGCTGGAGAAATAGATTTAGGAGGTCACACTCTATTAATGATACTTAAAACCTCAAGCAAGGATGAAACACCAAGGGAGTGGTTGACTATGGAAAAGAATGAGCACAAGGACTGATCCCTGGACCTCCAGTTCTAAGGGATCTGATCAGAGCACACCCAGAGCAGACTGCACAGTTCTGACCCCAAGTCTAGGGAACACTTAGACAAGGAACTCCCATATGCACAGGGATCATCTGAACGTGGTGCTGAGATCCAGGAATTCTGGAGTCAAACAAGAGATTCTGGATTTATGACAAGGTTGAAGCTCATGTTGCCGGTCTCCAGATCAAAAACACCAGGATCCCACATGTCTGAGCATCAGCCTTGCCCATAGGGCTTGTTATATAAGTGATTCCTTGGTCTTGTGCATAATATTCTGAGACAGGGGTTCTGGGGAGTGGCCTGAGTATTTTCTAAGCTCCCACCAGCAATCCTGTTGCTCAGCCACATTGGGAACCACTGAGATCAGAGATCAGAGAGTGCCCAGGGTGGGTGGGTGGGGTGGGTTTTCAAACCCTGTTTAAAAGAGGATTTTTCTCACAGAAAGAAAAGGGAGGATGTGTATCATCAGTTATGAGATGTGACATTTCCTGTTGTTCTCTCCACCATGCGGTAGAGGCCAGGTAGAGAATTCAGGATGTGGCTCTTGCACATGGAACACCTGCGAATGCCGCTCTCTGACACCCGCCCACAGACTCATTTCCCACTCACTTCTTGGAGGAAACCATGGAAACCAAATTTCTCTAATTTACACATACAGTAGCATACATGGTATTGGGGGCTAATTTTATTAAGCAGACTGGAAACTACACATCCGGGAACAGAATCCATAGCCCACCCTGGATCAGGTCCCTCCTAGGAAGAACTGCCCCTACTGCTAAGCACAGACGCCACTGCTCACACCTCTGACACCCTGGTGCTGGACACTGGACCCTGAGGCCAGGTCAGATGTCACTGCTGCACCTGGAAACTGGACATCACTACTGTCACTCAGCAATCTTTGCCAAAATGTGTTCTGCACAGTGCAGGCTCTCTGTGTCACCTCATTCTGGCTCAGAGGCTGGCAGTGATATAGGAGTTAAAAAGAAATTATTTAGGCAGATAGTGAGGGTACAGAAGTCCTCAGTAAGATTTTCCTTTTAATGAAATGCAGCCCCAAAGTCATTTTCTTTTCTAACAAAGAGCAGCCTGTAAAATTACTACATCTAATAAGAGAGATAGACTCCAGTATAATAATAGTGGAGACTTCAACATCCAACCCTCAACATTAGACAGATCATCAACACAGAAATCAAGAAGAAACATTGAATTTAAACTTTAGACCTAATAAAGCTAAAAGACATTTACAGAGCATTCTATCTAACACTGCAGAATATGCTACACTCTTTCCACAAACATATGGAACATTTTCCGGGAGAGAGCCTATGTTAAGCCACAAAAAAGTCTCAACAAATTTTCAAAAGTTGAAACCATATCAAATATCTTCTCCAGTCACAATGGAATAAAACTAGAAATATACACCAAGAGAAACTTTGGCAACT